ACTGAGAATCCTTCCGTGAACTTTTTGAAAATCCCTTGTATCTATCACCTCACCATGTTGTTATTTTTCTTGTGAGGAGAATATTAAAAATACATTCTTTTATCTATTTGGAAATACACAATACACTATTACTAACTGTGGTCAAAGTTGAATTGATCACTAAAACTTACCATTCAGTCCGAGGAGAATATTAAAAATACATTCTTTTATCTATTTGGAAATACACAATACACTATTACTAAGTGTGGTCAAAGTTGAATTGATCACTAAAACTTACCATTCAGTCTAATTAAACTTTGTACCATTAGAACAACAGATTTTAATTTGTAAGTAAAATTCATAAAGGACGGACGTGTTGTCACCAAAACCCAAAGAGGACTGAAAGTATTGAACTTAGGTGTCATTAATAAGTGTGTCAATTGAATTGTTTTGGAAAGGGATATTATCAATGTCATGTCATAGTTGTGCTCCTGGAGAAAGATGAATATAGTTAAGGTCTTGTTTACAAACATTGAGTGTGATGCAAAGATGTTGAGGTACTCCATGAACAGCCTAGAAAATGTTGACCCCAGGGTTACTGGAAAGATTCTCTTTGAGTAGTTGCCAAAATTGATGCTTTTGTTTGGAGTTAAGGGTTGGAAACTCTTATTCCATTGTTTTGCTGATGCTATTCCTGAAAGAAGATTCTCTGATTACCATATTTTCTCCACCAGTCTGCCTGGAGTTGTCTCCATCACCTGCTGCTAAATATGTTCCTGAACATTTGGTCATTTGACAGACTTATCTATTCTCTGTTCCCCAATCCAGTTACAGATGTGACCACAGGATGTACCAGAGATTGCCAGTGTCTACGTTGTATTGAAATAACACTCAGTATCTAACAAGTATAGATACTGGCCCACTGCTCTGGGCCAGTCATCTTGAGTTTTACTTCATAGGAATAGTCTCCTTTAATCTTCAGAACAAATCTGTGATAAACTACCATTTTGTAGATGATGAAATATAGTTTTAAAGAGGGCGAATGACTTGTTGAAGGTTATGAAATAGTGGCAGTAAGTTTTAAAGCAGAATTATTTGATTCTAGGAAGTCCAAGCTCTCTCTTTTTTTTTTTCTAAATAATGTATTGCAAGTTAAGTTTTTTCACTTTGTTTTATAACTATAAAAGAAATATATGTACAATGTAAAATATTCAAAAGATGTCAGCTCCTCAGAAAAGATAAAGTGCTGAAGAACACAGTGGACAGTGAGGAGAGGGCTACTGCCTTGAGAGACAAGGTTGTAACTGGACTGGGAAGGGCTGTCATCTGGTGCTTGGGAAGGGGACATTCAGGCACTGACAATAGAGACGGTAGAGGTGGACACATAGGAACAGTTTGCCTCAAAGTCTATGAAAGAAAAACTCCCTGGA